GTGCACAATGGCGGGATCTCGGCTCACCGCAACCTCTGCCTTTCGGATTCAAGCAATTCTCCTGCCTCAGCATCCCTAGTAGCTGGGATTACAGGCATGCACCACCACCCAGCTAATTTTGTATTTTTAGTAGACATGGGGTTTCCCCATGTTGGCCGGGCTGGTCTCGAACTCCTGACCTCAGGTGATCTGCCCACCTTGACCTCCAAAAGTGCTGGGATTATAGGCGTTAGCCACCGTGCCCGGCCGTTTCATCTCTTAAGAGTTGCCGAGACTGAAAATATCCTGTGACTCACATAACACATACATAAACGCAGTCACTGAATCCTACTAATTTTTTTTATTTGAGTTAGTTTCTTCTTTCTTATCTATACAGCTATTTGCCTCTGACTCTGAAAATAAGCTTTGCAGGAAAAGACAGAGAATAATCAAAATAAACAGAAAAGTGACAAGTCCCCAAATCTTGGAGCATGTATAGTTGGTCCCTGCTTCTGGTCAGGGTGATAAAGTCCATGCACCTTCTCCTTTGGTGCCAGCAGGAAATGTAAAACTAGCAAATCTACAGCCTGCATGACTCTGCTTTTGGCACCAGTGCGAAATTTAAAACTGGTAATTCTCCAGCCTGTCTCCTTCTTTGGCATTGGTGGGAAATTTAAAACTGGCAACAAAAATTGGTGCAGTTGAGAAATTTAAAACTTGCAAATCTATAGCCTGTGCAGCATTTTCCCCAGCCCCGCTTCGTAGACTAGACACTGTAAAGGCCCATCCAACTTCCTCTGCCTCTTTCAAGCCAGCCCAGACCTGTTTGCAGCACCCATCCCCCCACTCCCCTACCCCCACTAGTTCCCTGGGTAATAAAATTTCTCTCAAATACTCTTGGCATATCTAGGGTCATAAGTGTTTACATCCAACCTAAAATTAGGAGGAGGGAGGATCAGTCTGCCTCAGTAGCATGACCAGAAAACACTCACACACCTAATTTTCAATCTAACTTATTTTTTCCTGAAAAATATCGCCAAGAAGACCAGCAAGCTCTAGTCAGTTGACTTTTTGCAGACTCTAGTCAGCAATTTTCTATCAAAATGAAAATTTGAGAAACTAAATAATAATAATTAAAAGGATGTCTGGTGAGAATGGAATTAACACATGGGAAATTGTTTGGGTGAGTTTTGTCTATTCTTAAAACTCCTCCCGGGGCTTGTAGAAAACCACTCTATATTGGTTCTCTTGACTAACTGGCTGTATGTTCTTTTTTATTTTTCAGCACTTCCAGTAAATGAGGGCTTACTCCTGTATAGCTTTTTCTGACAATTTTAAAAATTGAGACAAATTCACATGAAAAAAGGCTACCATTTTAAAGTGTACAATAGAGTGATTTCGTATATATATTTACAGTATTGTGCAACCATCACCACTAATTCCAGAACATTTTCATTACCTCCCACCAGAAAACCCACAAACCTATTAGTAGCCGCTCCTAATTTCCTCCTATTTGTATCCCCTCACCAATCCTTAATTAACTTTTCTTATCTATGAATTTGCCTTTTCTGGATATCACATGTAAATGCAACCATGTAGTTTTTCATGTCTAGCTTTTTTCATTCACTATAATGTTTCTAAAGTAGGTTCATCCATGTTGTAGCACATATCACTTCTTTCCTTCCTTCCTTCCTTCCTTCCTTCCTTCCTCGTTTCTTTCTTTCTTTTTGATGGACTCTTGCTTTGTCTCTCAGGCTGGAGTGCAGTGGCATGAATGATTTCCACTCACTGCAACCTCCGCCTCCCAAATTCAAGTGATTCTCCTGCCTCAGCCTCCTGAAGAGCTGGGATTACAGGGTCCCACAACCAAGCCGAGCTAATTTTTGTATTTTTAGTAGAGATGGGGCTTCACCATGTTGACCAGGCTGGTCTTGAACTCCTGACCTCAAGTGATCCACCCGCCTCAGCCTCCCAAAATGCTGGGATTACAGACATGAGCCACTGCACTGGGGACCACTTCATTTCTTTCTATATTGCATGATATTTCATTGTACAAATATATCACTTTCTGTTTATCCATTCTTCAATTGGTGGACATTTGGGTTGTTTCTGCTTTTGGGCTATTATAAATAATGTAGCCATGAGTATCAGTGTACTAGTCTGTTTCACACTGCTATTAAGATATTATTTGAGACTGGGTGATTTATAAATAAAGGAGGGTTAACTGACTCACAGTTCTGCAGGGCTGGGAAAGCCTTATGAAACTTAAAACCATGGAGAAAGAGGAAGCAGACACCTTCTTTTTTTTTTAAATTGTACTTTAGGTTCTGGGGTACATGTGCAGCTCATGCAGGATTGTTGCATAGGTACATACATGGCAAGGTGGTTTGCTGCCTTCCTCCTCCATCACCTATATCTGGTATTTCTCCCCACGTTATCCCTCCCCACCCCCACAGTCCCTCCCCTAGTCTCCCCCAACTGACCACAGTGTGTGATGCTCCCCTCCCTGTGTCCATGTGTTCTAATTGTTCAACACCCACCTATGAATGATACCATCCAGTGTTTGATTTTCTGTTCTTGTGTCAGTTTGCTGAGAATAATGGTTTCCAGATTCATCCACGTCCCTATGAAGGACACTAACTCATCGTTTTTTATGACTGCGTAGTATTCCATGGTGTATATGTGCCACATTTTCTTTATCCAGTCTATTGTTAATGGACATTTGGGTTGGTTCCAGGTCTTTGCTATTGTAAACAGTAGCAGGCACCTTCTTTACAAGGTGGCAGGAAAGAGAGTGTGTGTAGGAGGAAATGTCAAACACATAAAACCATCAGATCTTGTGAGAACTCAGTCACTATCATGAGAACAGCATGGGAGAAACTGCCCCTATGATCTAATCACCTCCCACCAGGTCTCTCCCTCAAAACCTGGAGATTACAATTCAAGATGAGATTTGGGTGGGGACACAAAGTCTAGCCATATCAATTGGTGTACAAGATTTTTAAAAAAGCTTTATGAAGGCCGGGCACAGTGGCTCACACCTGTAATCCCAGCACATTGGGAAGCCGAGGTGGGTGGATCACCTGAGGTTGGGAGTTCAAGACCAGCCTAGCCAACATGGAGAAACACTGTTTCTACTAAAAATACAAAACTCGTCGGGCGTCGTGGCACATGCCTGTAATCCTAGCTACTTGGAAGGCTGAGGCAGGAGAATCGCTTGAACTCAGGAGGTGGAGGTTGCCATAAGCCGAGATCATGCAATTGCACTCCAACCTCGGCAACAAGAGCAAAACTGCATCTCAAAAAAAAAAAAAAAAAGCTTCATGAAGATAATGTTCACATAAGCTACAATTTATGCACTTAAAGTGTACAATTCAATGGTTTTTGGTATAGTCACAGGTATATGCAACCATTACCACAGTCAATTTTAGAACACTTTCATCACCCTAAAAAGAAAATCTGTGCACACTAGTCACCATATCCTTAACTCACCCCACCCTTCCTACCAGATACTCTCCTGCCCTACACAACTACTAGTCTACTTTTTGTCTGTGCAGATTTGCCTGTTCTTTACATTTCATATAAATGGAATTGTATAATATACTGACTTTTGTGACTGGCTTCTTTCCCTTAGCATAATGCATGTGCTTCTTTCCTTTTTGTGGCTGAATAAAATTCCATTCCATGGCTATAGCATATTTTATTTATTCATTTGTCAGTTGATGAACATTTGTGTTGTTTCAACTTTTGGGCTATTATAAATAGTCATGTGCAAATA